TTCCATGTCTTCCCATTTTTCCGTACATCATTCTCTATGACTTTTCTCCAGGTTCCACGAGACCTTCCTCTTGATCACTTGCCCTTTGGATTCCAATACAACACTTTCTATGTGTTATGCAGCTGTCTTGGACATATATTCAGGAAGCCAGGCAAACGCAGGATGTAGGCATGAGTGAAAGAAGAAAGAAAAATTAGTAAATAGAGAAGGGAGGTAAGAAAACAAAACAAACAAGAAAGTCAGACGTAAGGTTTAGTCCCTATTCTAAAATGCTGTACTTACCTGAAAGCCTTGACTATATCACTTGGGCTGACCTCCAACTGACCGGCCACGTCCCTTACCAAGTTCCATACCCGTGTGCTCTCAGTATCCGGTCTGTCTGAGATGTCCAGAACGTTGTGGAACAATCGACTCCCACCGAAGAAAAATGATCTCTCTGGGAACGTAATGGAAATGTTTCTTGTTCAAGTTGAAGTTACCCAAAACACGTCCTCAACTGTGGTATGAAATGAACTTACTTTAATTTTTTTAAAGTTGCTATTAACAAGAAGAATGAAACAAAAGCCTATGTTAGGGTATGGGTCATAATATTACCCTTTTCAATCATAGATTCAAGTGATATTCTAAAACATTTTATTCTGAAAAATGTCTGCACCCTCGAGAGGAAGTATTAGGCTATTGCGATTATTCTAAATTTCCACAAACAGTAATTCCCTATGACGTTTGTGACAATTATACTACTGTTTCGATAAGAAACAACTTGTGCAAGTGTACACTGGCTTAATAAGTATAATATTGTACTTTATCAGTGTCAAGGGGGCGTACAAGCACCTACATTTTAAAACATGTCTCTCTGATTTGTCAGATTAACCAAGCTAATCTATTTTTTTTTTCGAGGCAACAATTGAGTTAGGAGTCAGAAAGATTTCCAAGCCGACAGTGTCTACAACCAATTTCATTTATAAAAATCGAGAAGTGTGTTTCATCCAAACTTACTGCTAAAAACCCGAGATATCTTCAGTCTTTCGAACAGACCAAACGGCGTGTCTGTGGTCAACATTTTCCCTCCGAAAGTGGCACATCTCGTCGCTGCGTCAAAGTAGTTTCTGCAAAGAGGTTTGTTTTATATAGTTATGCAGCCTTTGTATCATACAGTGCTACTAGGGATATCCAGAAAGGATCGTTTTGAAATTAAGAGTAAAATAGTGATCGCAATATATTGCAGTGATCTCGCAGTGTATTTCATAGGATTTAAAGTTCTATGCATTATAAAAAGAAATCATTGAGGGAACCTAAATGTCGCTGGTGCTTTCTATTGTTATTCCATATGTTTGAGAAAGTACATTGGACTCGCACTGCCAAAATGTTACTCACTTTCGGGATGCCTTTCATGTAACATTGATCAATCATTGTATTCCCGAAATTATTCCTGACTAAATAAAGATGATGATTTATACATCGTTTAGTCTTTTGGGGAGGGGGAGGGGGTGGTAAAACGTTTCTCACAACCTCAATTTTGGGGTTTTTTAAAGTTTGTAATCTCCCTCCCCAAAAAAAGAGGTAATGTCAAGTGATCAACCTAAAAAAACCCACTTAAGTTGTCTTGAATGCAGTCTGGAGGAAAAAATATTCAAACAGCTTTGTGAGGTCTTCTGTGACCTTTTGGATCAAGCTAACGCAATCACTGTATTTATACAAAACTTAAAGTTACAGGATTTTTTAGTTCTTCATTAACATCAAATTTAGTGGCGTGGTGCTTTTTGGGCCAAAGGTGACCTCTATTTCATGTTTGCCATATTTATTGACTATAAACTTTACTCGACGACTCGTTTGAAGTTCAAGCTATGTAATTTTATCCAAGAAACTGCAATTTCACTCGAGAAATAAGCCGATTTACTTTCCCTCTTCGTTACAGAGTAAATATTACCTGCAATGCCAAAGAGTTATTGGTTTTTCATGTAATAATAAAACAAAGTAAAACAGAATTTACTGCAACAAACAGCGACGTGAATTTTAAATATTATTTTCTTGTGCAACGCTTACCTTGCAACCCCTCTTTGAACGAGAAGACAAAGACCTTCATATAACATAAAAGGTCTTTTACATGGTACTGAAAAGAGAAAGGTAAAGAAATTCAAAATCAAATCAACTGCAGACTTTTGTTTATTTCATTATGATGTCAATGGATTGCAAAAATGACTTGAAGATCACGATTCAGAATAGGCTGTGTTTAAAAATACAAAACTTCAATGCCGTGCTCCAAAAAATGAGTCACGCATTATATACTTTGTATTTCTCAAATTTACTGTAGCAGTACATTGCTCATTACAGTACAAAAATGGTCGTGCCCTTAATAGGAAATGGAGAACGAGTAAAAGTTCATCGAACATAAAGGGCAGCTTAACTTGTGTCTTCATATACAAGACACAAGGTCTTCTGCATTTTGATGTCGGAAATAAAACGTTCATCACCGAAAATGTCATATTATACATGAAAGAAGGCGAAGGTTTCAAGTCTAATCTCTCGACTTTGACAGATTCACATCGCGCATACACTCTTTTCAAATAACCTAACATTTTAGACGAAAATTAAATTTTAAATGTTCTTTGATATGAAATCTTAACGGTAAAAGGTCGCATATAATAAAGCTTGAAGCAGTTGCTCATCTCGTAAGGTATCATTTTATTTCTGATTCGAGGAGATGTGGATTTACTGTGTTAGAGAAGTTAATGATTTCATTAAGTTTGATGCACAATTGACTACTGTTTTTGGGGGGGTCTGGAAGCAAGTGTAAAAAAAAAAATGTTTGTTCACTTTTAAAAATGGACATTTTAAGAGGAATGCTATTATTGGGAACAGCGTAGACGCCTTAAAGGTGCTTGATTTGTTTTGTTTGCTTTTTCTCTTTGATGCGTTAACTGTTCGTTTTGATGTGTTGTTTTATTTTTTTATTTTTCGGTGGGTGTGGGGGAGAGGGGGAGACCAAGAGCTGGGGTTTGGGTGCAAAGGCTACTCACTAGGCTTACTGACACACTGCGTGCCGTCAGGACTACATTGTTCATTTGATGAACATTCTGGGATGACCTGCTCCAGGACCTGTCCTCCCTCACACTTGACTGTCTTGGCACACGGCTTGACCACCAGCATCTCTCCGTCCTGGGTAAAGGGGGAGGGGTGGATATAACATTTAATTTTCTGTGCTTTTTTTATCAAAATGTCAAATAGGTGAAAAGGTCAGATGAGGTTTGGGGAAGCAGAGAGGTTGCGTGTCTTCGTTTGGGTAAGAATAAAGAACTGCATGAAAGCATAAATCTATATACATGAAAGACCCAAGTGTTACCTTGAGAGCGAGGGTTTCTCCATCTTCCATCTCCACGGTACATTGTTTCTTACACTCTTCTAGCGGCACACACTGCAGCTCGGTGTTGAGGAAAAAGCCTTCGTCACAGACACACCCAGAACCCGTCACAAACTCAGAACAGGGCTCAGGATTTTCCGCCGTGGAGCAGGTGGGCTGACATTTGATCAAGTAGCTCGATTCGTAGTGGGTGTGAGGTTTGTTCCCACATCTCACCTCCTCTGACTTTTCTGAAATAACGAAAAAGCCAAATTAATGCAATTGACATATTTTAATCAACCCTCTGGGCAAAAGTGGGAATTAAAATCTTACAGCTTGTACTCGGTTAGGCTAACCCTGTTAATGCGGTTATAGAGAAACCATAACATCCCTAATGTTTACCCTTTGCATTCACGCTAACTCAGCCAAAAAGAATCTGACTTATGTAGAGAGACAGAAAGACAAGCAAACATACAGACAGACAAATAGACAGACAGAAAGACAGACAGACAAACAGACAGACAGACAGACAGACAGACAGACAGACAAACAGACAGACAGACAAACAGACAGACAGACAAACAGACAGACAGACAGACAGACAGACAGACAGACAAACAGACAGACAGACAAACAGACAGACAGACA